TTTTTCTTGACACCTAGTGGTTAATAAGTCAAACAGCTGACTCATAATTTCAAAGAATTTATTTTTTCTTCTTTTATAGGAAGTTTTATCTTGCAATTTGGGGGGAAAAAAGAGCTATCCAATAAAATTAAAACTTGGTTATAGTACTCGAGACCCAGATTCTCTTCTTTAATTATTTTTTGTGCTGCTATTTCTCTACATTGAAGTATTCCTTATCCCTTTGTTTTAATCTAATGTTTAAAGTAATTTAATTTATATTAAATATTTATATTGCAAATGCAACTCTAAAAATTTGAATTAATGAGAATATACCCATTTGTTTCAAATGAATTGAGAAATCTAGTGAGTTACTTCATTTGCCAATCAATTTCTTCTTACCACACTAATAGATTTTACTTGGTCTCTCCAGTTTTTTCAAAGAAGGGTACAATTCACTGCGTCTTAATGTTTGTTCTTGGGAGGAAATAATGGTGATGGTGATTACAGAAGGATGAATTTTTCTGAAACATCTGTACCTTTCCCTCTCTCACATCTTTCACATTTCTAAAGTCAAAATGCTGTTGGCTCTTATTCGCAGTTTTGGAACTGTTGAACATATAGTCTCTGCTATTTAGGAGGCAATTTGTAGAAGAGACCCATGCCTTTCTGCAATCTAACGTGGGACAGCATACCCCTAATGGCTATTCCCATGCTCTATGGCAGCAGAGCTATGTGCTTATTGGGGGGAGGGAGGGGGGTTATTCAGCAATTTTCTTTTACTTATCATCTTACAATTTGTTAAATCAGAGTAGCCCTCCATATGTTAACTATAATTTCCAATATACTGTCTAATTACTGTCCATACTAGATACTGCTGTAGTTTAACCAGGTTCCCCATACCTTCTTCTGCCTAACTGGGTTGCATTTTCTTAATCCTGCATCAGACAACCTTTTGAGGGTAAGCTGGCATGTTTAGAATTTTAAAAGCATCTTTCAAGCACTCTCACAGAATGGCTGCCACGTGGCAGGCTCACCTATTCAAAAAAGGATTGCTAGGCCGGGCATGGCAGATCATAATATAACCAAACTGCAGGCAAATGGTGAGGCTGCTTTCCAATATCCCCTGTAGCCCATAGGATGTCTTCTATCACTTCAGAGTAACTTAGTCTTTTCCTGAGAAGGAGGGCAAACTTCCAAACAAAGCATTGGGCTGCAACTATCCACAAATTTTCATCTTCTAAGGAGGCCTCTAGGATCTATTATGGGAGGCAAAAATATTGTTGTAAATAAAGTTTCTAGAAACCGACACTATGCTTTATTGAGAAGGAGGGCAAACTTCCAAACAAAGCATTGGGCTGCAACTATCCACAAATTTTCATCTTCTAAGGAGGCCTCTAGGATCTATTATGGGAGGCAAAAATATTGTTGTAAATAAAGTTTCTAGAAACCGACACTATGCTTTATAACATGCCAGTTTCTTGTTTACTCTTTTTAATTTAAAATAAACTGAAGGTATTGGACAGTAGGACAAGTGATCTAGTGAACTCCAAGGAAAGTACCTGTGGACATGTTGTCCATCCTGGTCTTAACTTATAACAGTTAGGAACAAAGGCATCAGGGATGTCCAAAATGTACCCTCCAACCTTTCAATCCTACTATTTACAAACCTTATTATAAATGCTTTCTCTATTCTGGCACCTGGTCTCTGGAATGAGATTCCCCCTGAAATCCATGTTGCTCCCACTTTGTTGGCATTGCATAAGGCCTTGAAGACATGGTTGTTCTCCCAAGCCTTGGGGTGATGGATGGAGTCCCCTGTTGGATGTGTTTTGTCTATGTTTTTGTATAGTGTGACCATATCCCATCTTGCTTTGAATTGTGTTTTTATGGTTTATTATATTGTGAGCTGCCCAAAGTCAGTTTGGAGTCAGGTGGTGCCTAAATTGAATTAAATCAATCAATCCATCAATCAATCAAAAAGTTCCAGCAATATAACTTTCAATAGAAACTACCTATTTTTTTATTCCATAGAGATATCCAATAACCTTGTTTGCCCTCAGAATATGGAATAATCACAATTCAATCTTTGACATCAAAAGAACTAAAATACCAGGGCTACCCAAGGCTGCTGCATTATGGGACAGTACTACAATATGACTCAACATAAGGCAATTTCATAAGCTGATTAGGAACCAGACATGCTCAGCAGCTGAGGGCTGCTGAGAAGAAAAGTTCTAGAATGCCAATAGCATTTTTTGTCCTCTGAGTTTCTTATAACTCTGATATCTAATATACTATATTATAATAAAAGATATATCTAATATATCTTTCTATTCATGGATCTTAGCTTTTCTATTTGTAGACCTCAATTGTCTTTTTAGCCTTGAGTAGATTCCAAATTTCTGTATCTCTTAAGATGTTATGAACCAAGCGTTACATGTTAAAGAAAATTGGTCAGTAATACACATAACAAAGAAATCACAAAAAAGTACAATTTTCAATGTATATTTTATTAATTGCAACAAATTACTTTTTTATAAAAGTTGAAGCTACATTACCTCAAAGCTAAGCAAGTAATTTCATTTTTAAATGGATTCCATGCTACTTTAACTACCCTGAAATATGTTTGATGGTAAATCATGTTTTTACATAATGCTAGATGCTTTGTACAGAATATAGGCATATTTTTGTAAATTATTAACAACATTATAAATACCACCATTATAATCCGATATACTATCTTCTTTCGTTCTTGTTTGCACTATATTTTCCACCTGCTGATTTCAGAAAATTACTACTGAAGTTCTTTTCCTCTTCATGGACAGAATACAGCAATTTGCAAAGTCAAGCAAGGATGAAAATGTGATTGAAATATAAGAGGTCGTTTTAATGCAAATGTTGTTACTGCATTATAATTTTTTTCCAGCTCTATTCAGCTGCTTAAAGAGAATATTCTTCATTTTTAGACATTTGTAGACATGGCTATTCTGAGGATAAGGTTTTAAATATAATCATCATTATTATATATCTATCATATAATAATGGAAGAATTTTTACTCTTTTTTATTTAAAAAATTCAAATGATTTCAAGGAGAGAGGCATCTTAGTGTAATTTTAGCAACAAATTTAACTCTTGCTCTTTTTTGTTTCACAAATCAAGTTTTGCATTATTTACCGCTAATAGCTCTCTAGATCATTTTTATTCATGCCGATGAAATTGCCACTTTTTCCAGCACTGTCAGGTTCCATCTGCACCATTTATACTGCTTGTAAGAGAAAATATTAGCTTACATTTCTGCCTAAACACGAAGCTCTTACACTTTATTGATTGCAGTCTGCAGGTTTCTCTCTTAACTGTGAAGTCAATGACCAGGGTGTGTTAAATGATTTATATCAAATGAAAAGTGATAAGAAAAGTCCTTGAAAACATCATTGGCTGCCATATCCATTTGTTAAATGCAACGTGCTGCTAATGTAAGTTCAGAGTTGGAAACTAGATAATAAGTACTTAGTTTCTAGCCAAAAAAAAATGTTTCAAGGAAGTACTAACTGCATCCTTTAAAAAATTTAGTGTCTACATTTAAGAACTGCTTCCCAACTGAGTTTTGAAAAACACAGGGACATCCCAAAGGAGATCTGGGAAAATGTACTCTTCATTAAAAAAAACAAAAAAATAATGCAAAGCTAAAACTGGACAAAAAACATTCAGCATAGCAGCAAGCAGAAACAGTCCTTTTAGAATGAATTGAAACTATTTTTTTTTATTGTTATAGCCATTCTTCCCTTACAAGAATGACCTTGGAATGACTATGTGTCCTAATATTGTGTCATTCCAATGGAACTTTGGGAAGAAACATGACTTTCTTGCTTCCAAATCCACCCAAAACACTTCAGCAGCTCTCTGCAAACAATGAAGATCCCTCTTCCAAAGTTACTCTTTGCATGTAAGTCATATCTCATGCCGACAAAATGGTTTTGCATATGGGAGGAAAGACACCTCCATAATCTAGGGTGTGTAACACTGATCCACTGACTAAAAAGGATAAAAGGACATAGTGTTGGTCTGGACTATCCAAGGTTAATTTCTTGCTCTCTTGGCAATACTAGTTAGCACCAATTCACCATCTGCATTATGGCAGCCAGTGGCTAAGCAGCTCCAAGCTTCTCAATAGAACAAACCTTGATCCATTTCCATTTTGCCTCAGCATGGAATTCGGTATAGACAGAGACTGCCTTTGTCATCCAGATGATTTTCATTTAGAAATAAAAAGAGTGGAATAGTATGTGTTGAGTTTCCTGGATTTCTCAATCATGGCATTCTTCTACTCCAACTTATGGGTTTGGAAGCTTTAGGGATCACTTACTAATGCTGAAAGATGAAAGAGATTCCAGGAATTGTTCAAGAGATTAAGAGCCTTTTCCATTTCCCTCTCTCACACACACAACACACATACTATGGGCACATCAAAAGTTTCATATTTTGGGTGTGCTCATGGATTTGGACTAATTTGTTGCCAAGCAATAAACACTTTGCACACTCAGAAATGTAATTATTATTATTGAATTTGGAGACGGTGAATTTCATATCTGAACTTCATTTCATACACTGTTTTCTTCCAAAACAGAAGTTGATGCTAATGCCTACGGCAAGGGCAACCAAGCATTAGTTCGCTACCAGGTTAAACAGCCTTCTCCCAATATGTGTAAACGTTTCCACACATAGCTTTTTAAACAGATCTTGAGATAAATCTTTGCATTTTAGTCATAATATGCCATTTTGTATTTTTAAAAATAAATATCTAAAGAACATCATAATCTGGCTAGTTACAAACAACTATTAATTTCCTTGTCGCTTCTATATAAAAGGTATACCTCTGTCATATCTTTTCAAACATAACCTCTTAGCTTTAGGATCCACTTTTAACCACTGAATCAGCTGCAAATGGGATTCAATCAGTAAACTGATATAGCGCTGAATTTTCTTATATAACCTGTTTTTTTTATTTTAGATGCTTCCTTACCTGGTCCATCCCAGTCTTCTGTCTCAAGCGTAAGTGGTCCTGGTTTATCCAACCGTGCCTCTCCATCAGAATCTGCTGCTTCTTGGCTGCCCTCTTCATCACCTATCGATTTGCCAAAGAAATGCGTAGCTTTACAATAAATTCCATAATAACAACTTGAACACGTATAAAACAGTTTCTTCTCTTTCAGGCAAACACACACATACACATACACACAAGCACCAACCCATAACACATTACATTATTTTTATTCCTTTAAAATTCACTGTGCTAAGACACTGCTTCAAAAGAATTCATGCAACAGAGGTTACATTATTTTGTACTTTATAATTTTATATTCTTTCAATATAGTAACTTTATGATGTTATATTGTATTACATTGCGTGTGTGTGTGTGTGTAATACTGAATTTGTACACATTATATTTTAATGCACTTTGCCTAGGATTACTTTGACATATTAATATTTTAGATAAATAATATGTTATAAAAGTCAAACTACTGAAGCTAGTTTATATAAAAATAGTTTTTATCGTAGGAAAAAAGTTCAGAAACACAAAAAAATTTAAAGGATAAAAACAGATTCCAAAATAATAATAGTAGTAGTAAGAGTAATAGTAATTACTATTATCCCTACAGCCTATATAAAATATTTAATGTGAAGGATTGGGAGGGGAAGAATAGGGTAATTAATGGTGGACATATATTTTGGAAAGTAATTTAAGAAAAGTAAAATGGACTTGTTTTATTTAAAGAAAAAAATTGCAGACTCTGAAATAGAAATCAAGAATTCTTAAGAAGTTGCTATGTACTGGCTTTAGTTTTCTTACTAGATATAAATGATTAGTCTGTTAGCTTGTTTAAATGACTCCTGAGGTTCAGAAAAGTTTTTTCAGCTCTGGCAGAGTTTCCATACTTGATTTGGAGATTTGATTTCACTTCTGGAAAATAACATGACACTTATGAGGCTATACATTTGTTTACTGAGCAACTGCCGCCTATATTCAGGACTGTTAGGAACCGCAGCCAGCTCCGAAAGCAGGGTGCCGTCAGAAATGAACCCTGACCCTTACGCTTACAGGTCTCAAGCATATCTAGCACTGAAGTTAAAAGTTTCAGATAAATACAGGAAAGGTATCAGTCCAGGCTTATCCACTCTTGTCTCATTGTGGAATATTTGTTTGTTTGAAAAGCAAAGCACAAAGACATTTGCTCAGCAAATAACGTAACGAAACGAATAACGTAAATAATGTAAAGTAACCAATCTTACAGACTGCAAGATTTGTTTATCAACCACACAAAGATAAAATCTTTTGAGGCCCTCTTCAGACTGGTCAGAACCACCTGAATGATTTCAGTATCTTCAGAGAAGCAGTAGAGCTTTAAAGCAGTGCTTCTCTTGGCAACTTCAAGATGTGAGGGCACTGGCTGGGGAGTTCTGGGAGTTGAAGTCCACACATCTTAAAGTTGCCAGGTTTCAATGACTAAATTTAAAAACCTCATAACAACAACGTGTAGAGGATTTGCTTACCCTTATTTATAAATTGTTGGCGAAATATGACTTGGAACCTGAAAAGTTTAAAGGCTGTGTAGTCAAATGGATGCAGAACTTTGAGACAATCATTGATATACAACTGAGGATTTCAGTGGAAGAATATTAAATTCACACCAGATATTATACTTAGAGAAAATCTGATATGCTTGCTTTATTTATTTATTTAGCAAATTTATATGCCCACCCAACTCTCCAATACAAAAACCTACCAACACCCATCCCCTGCAGCAGCCAAAGATACAATCAATACAACCATTTGAGTGGCTCCTTTTCAGCTTGGGGTCCCCAGGCCCTCTGGCAAAACCATGTCTTCGGGACCTTTCGCAGCAACATCAAGGTGGGAGCCAATCTTAATTCAGAGGGAATATTCCACAGGGCCACCAAGAAAAAGGCCCTTCTTCATGGTCCCATCAGATGTACTCCCTCAGTGATGGGAACCGCAACCTACCCAACCTCCCTCTCGGGTAGGCCAGGTAAATGTAACTGGGGAAGGGTGGTCCTGCAAATAGCCAGGCCCCAAGCCATGTACAGCTTTAAAGATGATAACCAGCCCCTTGAAGTGGACCCGGAAGCAGATCCGCAATCAATGCAGCTCCCACAAAGGAGGTGATGCATGTGCAAATCCGGACTTGCGCAGAACTACGCAGGCTGCTGCATTTTGAACCAACTGAAGCTTTTGAATACTCTTCAAGGGCAGACCCATGTACAGCGTGTTACTACAGTCCAGTAGTAACCTGAAGGTGACTAGGGCCTTTTTGGTGCCTTCAAGTCAGCGTTGACTCCTGACAACTACCTGGACAAATCCTGAAGGTTTCTTGGCAAGATTTCCAGAGGTGGTTTGCCATTGCCTGCTTCCTAAGGCTGAGAGTGACTGGCCAAAGGTCACCCAGGCGGATTTGTGCCTAATACGATTGCTAAAATGGACAGTTCGTTTTCTAAAAATTGTTGGAAATCCAATGAACACATTGGATCATGCAACAATTTTGGAAAATGATTTATAATAGAATAAAAGAAAGCTGAAGAGCTGAATTTCCTTTCCAACCTATTTTTCAATTAAATATTACCAAACCTCACATTCCTGCAAAGCATATTATATTAGCTCTGTATATGGTAACTGCTGAAACAAATGCTTCTTTTTGTAAAATATGCTTATTCCTTCTACAGAAGAACGGCTAATTAAGCCCTGGGAGTACGCCTCAATATCTAAAATAATCTCGTATCTCCAAACTCAATTTGGAAACATTTCTAGATTACAACTTTATATACAGGTTGTACCATATCTGAAATCTGGATGTCTCTCAACATAAAATTTCTATGGTTCAGAAAAAAATTACTGCAGTTCTTAACCTTGATTTACATTATGATGACTGCTGCTTTTTATATGATTTGGATTTTTACAAAGACTGGTATTTTTAAAAATGATGTAGTACACTTAGTTATTTAAAGTAGTTAATGAAATACAGTATTGAAAAATGTAACCTAATTCTATGATGCTTATAAATTCCTCACTTATCTACTATTTATTTTTCCTTTTTGGCATGTTTTTTCTTCTTTTCCTTTTCTTCTTCTTTTTTTCAATCACTTGGTTAAAAATATTACACACAAAAGAACTGAAGTTCCAGTATTCTCCGCATTGCATTATTAAATCTATGTACTTCAGATGCTTTACACTGTGTGTGTGTGTGTGTGTGTGTGTTGTGTGTTCATTCTTATGCAAGAGAACGACTGAGCTTTTTTTTTTTCTTGACTGAGTATCACAGCAGCTGTTGGTTCCCCTATAATGTACTTTGCAATCATCTATATCTACAAAGTATTTTTTTAACAATGAACAGTTCAGAACTGACAGGTCTAGTTTCTTGTTCACAACTGCTTATCACAGCATAGATATCATATATGTTTTCCAGGTGCTTTCTATAGTTAGGATACCTTCACAGAAGCTGCTTGTGAAAGATAAGGTCATAAAAGAGATGAAAAATGTGTGAGCGTCATACACTCATGGTTTTATCATCAGACAAGATAGCTTTCAGTAAGGACTTCCCAGTGCAAACAGAAAGCTGCCTAGAAGACAGAGGGGAAAATGTAGAAAATTTGGAACGGCATTCAGGTGTGCTTTTTATTGAAAGCATACATGTAAAACTAAAGTGCCAGCAGTAAAAAAAAAAAAAAAAACTGAACAGAAACGGCTTCAAAGATTTACATAGAATTGCTGAAGATTCATTTTGTCATTTTATTGTAAGTTTTATATTGTATGTTTGCCACCCAGAGTCTCATCTGATAGATGAGTGGTGTTATAAATTTGATCAGTCAATCAATCAATCAATCAATCGTGAGTCAACCTGAAGTAAAGTCTTCTCTATAGCTACCTCAGTTCTTTGGAAGGTACTTCCTGCTTAGCTGAGGAGCCTAGTATCTTTGTTAACTTTTAAAAAGTTGTAAAACAAACAGATTTTTCATCAGGCTCTTAATTCTTTGACTGTCATTGTTTTTAATCTCTTCGTCTTTAATTCTGGATTTTAATGCTTTATTCCAAACTGCTGACCTTAAATGATGCTACATTCCATAAACAGAACATTATATTTTGGAGTTCAACAAGAGGCCTTGTTTTTACTGTTGGTTGCATGTCTACTATTTGTATAAACTGCAAGAAATCACAAGGGGTTTCAAGAATATAAAAACACAACATTTCTGCAGGGCTGCCTTGCCTTGCACCCTTTCCTTTCCTTTCCTTTCCTTTCCTTTCCTTTCCTTTCCTTTCCTTTCCTTTCCTTTCCTTTCCTTTCCTTTCCTTTTTTCTTTTTTACATCAGTCAGCCAAAATATAGGCAATGTATAATGGCAATATTTCTGGCATTCTGCCTCTAAACAAGCATCTAAGAAACACTATAGGATATAGCTATACGTAAACAATTTTTTGTTCCTTTTGCTACCATCTCTACCTGGAGTAGGTAAAAAAAAAGTAAAAAGTAAAAGTAAAAAAGCTCACAAAATCAGAAAAGGCAATCTGTTAACCAATTCATAAATAATTTTTTAAAACTGTGCTAAAAAATCCCACACTTCATTCTTGACATAGTTACTTTAGTTGTTTGAACTGAATCCTGTAAGTTTCATACTGCAGTTCTATCCCATATGTGTTCTGTATGGAAGGCTGGAAGACTCCAAATAAAATATCTTACTTAAATAAAGATGATGATGCCACTTGGAGAACTGTTAGCATACCTTCATAATTACAGCAGCAGAACATTAATGTCAACAGAATGCTCTAACTCTAAAGCAGGAGTGGCCAGCTTTTGGGAGTTGAACAGGTTACAGGTTGCTCATCCTTGCTCTGGGTCTCAAAATTGCAGTATCAGACACACTAGAAGAGGAGCACAATTTAGTTATATCCAAAGCTCTCTGATGTTACTAACCTTCAACAACATTATGCCAGCAAAAGAGTTGACATAATTAAAACCCTACAACCTGTATTTAATGGAGAACCACATCCTTCCACCATTTATCCTATAGAGTCATCCAACAAAGCATTCAGTTATCAACTAATTCTGCACCAAAT